ATCACTCGTGAAATTTTGAACACTAGAAATATCAAGTTTCTATCGATATAGAATAGAATGTACCGCGCGCCTTTACATGCAAATTATTAGGTAATTGCAGCTGCTGTAGAAGGTCTTTGTGACACCGTAAATATCTTATAACATTTCGTAATTACATGTACATATTTAAACAAAGGCCTACTAGAGCAGTCGCAATTATTTAATAATTTCCATACGTAGAGAGAATCGTATGTATTTTATAATATTTACATACCCCGATAGAAGCTTGATATTTTAAAAAATTCTTAATTATTTTGAATCACAAAAATTTCGAAGTATTCAACCATTTTTTTAATTCTTGTCTATTTACGAAAAATCTGATTTAAAAAAAATGCGCGTAAAAAATTTCTGTTTATATAATGATCTATGCGCATTGCACTATATATTCATACCTAAGTAAGCCTTCGGGCCGATGAAGGCCATTGCGTCGTCGTGACTGGGCATACCCCTTCCGATCGAACTATCGAATTAAGCTTCTTCGACGATTCATTGGTCGGTTTTGCCGAAATTGGCAGTCGACCAAATTTTCATGGGTCTTCAACAGCCAATGGCCTCGCGACGATAACTATGCACGATGGAGACCTACCGAGTATCGCGAAATTTACTGTTATTGCTTGCCTACATGCAATTCCGTTGTAAGATATCGTCGGTTTCGTTAAAATTATCGCGGAACAAAACTCCCGAGCAGTCGTAGAAGTTATAGTCGCGCGAAAATTAACTCGCGCGTATTAATAACTTCTTACCAGGAAAGGCCATCGGGCTGGGACGCACCTGGGGGCAACGTGATCCAAACTGAATCGATTATTTTTGTTCGGTCCAACTTTCGATCTTGTAAACACGAAGAAATCGATCTCTATGTTTATTTGCGACAATGTAGACGCGACAGTTTGCGTAAGGTAAAGCACATTCTACCGCGGCTATACCTTCGCGAAGGTCTATTTATAACTTCGAAATTAATCGGCTGAGATTTTTGCTGTCTGTATAGGCGTAAAAATGATTGATCGAAAGATTTTTTACATTACACTTGATTAATAACATATTCTGTTAGCAATACTACAGTTCCGGAATTATTCGTGCGTTGTTTCAGTTTTGTTATTTTTATTTTAATTTAGATCGCTCAAGATTTTCTCATAAATCACTCGATAAATAAGACGTTGATTAAAAATTGAAGGATAATTCTTCAATGGAAATTGATATTCTGATTATATAATGGGCTTTAAATTAAAATATTTGCATGTTTTTACTAATATTTGCACTTAAAGCATCGAAATTTTCATACGGTTTACATGTCAATTTTACAAATGCTGTACTCGCGACTTGCGTAAATACGTGCTTCTAGCTGTTTACAAGCTGTGGTATTATCGTTACTATTGACGATATATACATACATATACTGCGACATATTGCATAACGCTACTGGTAGGGAATTTACTGTTTGTCGATGCGGCGGCTTACCGAAGACAATATCAAGCTTCTGCGTTGGATAACCGCTGTTCCGCAAAACTAAGCTCAACTCGTGTGGAAAAAAAAAAATTTATTTAAAAGATATATATATCACATATAAAATACCAATTTAATTTTATAAAATATTTGTCTTTCGATTTAGAAAGATTCTACGTTTGTTTGCAATCATTTAGTTAGATTTAATGTGTTAACATACTTTTATAATATTCGCACAGTGATTTCTTAATTATAACTTCGCAGTACATAAATCGCTTCTTACCGCCCATGAGTAAGGGAGAACTGCACTTAAACGTGACAAACTTTATGTTTCCCGCCTGACGGTCGTTTCTAAGTTTATAAGCCCAGATTTTGCACCGCAACCCCTTTCAGCCTGCAGAAAAGCCACCTTTTATACGGCACAATATAACAGAAAGTGCTACGCTTAAAACGCGAGAAATTTCACGTATCGCAATTGCAACTCGTTTGTTGATTTATGAGCTCTTAAAATATACGTATTCCGATTTCTGAATTGCATTCCTTTCTGTGAAATGATCTATTAAAAGCTGGATATCTGAATTTTGGATTTGAAGAATATAATTCTAGACACGTATAAACGTAAACATACGCACGATAATTCTATTTCTCTCTAACATTTCATTTAAATTAATTTAAATATTTTTACACGTTAATACAAGCTGTAAAATATGTAAAAGGTAAAAATATGTTTCTTTATTAAAAAAGAAAGAAAGAAGAAAAATTACGATGGTATTTAAAACTTTTAAAAACAAATTCTGTATTAAAGTCATACAACTTACACATCTCTCTTCTCTCTTTCTCTTTCCTGCAATATCTTTTTGTATTTATAAATCTAAAATAGTTATTTATATGTTTCGTTTTTGTTGGATCGCTCTGTGTGAAGATCATTGAAGATAAATAACTAACGCAGTGTTTACGAGTTGTATTTCTCGAGTGCTTTAGAACACATTTAGAATATTGGTTACTTGTTTGGACCATCGTCAGTGATAGTTTTATAAGTGAGATACATAAGATACTTATACTCGACATACTCGTAAATATTTTTAACTGTATTGTATTTAGAGTGGCATTCATCGAGGCACTCATTGGTACGCGCTGGTCTAATTTAAGACCGTCCCTGACTGACTGTGGAGTTCAATTGACGCTAGAACCTTTGAACCAAAATAATTCGAAAAACAAGATACACGTTTATTTAATAGCGTTTAGTGAAAGATTAAATATCTTAAAACATAATTTTTTTTTCTGCAAAAAGTTCTTACTTGTGTGCGATTAGATAACGATAAAGTAATTAATTAATGTTATTATTTAACAACACAAGATTAATGTTATCGGCAATTATTGTTCGTGTAATACAATACAACGACGTTCATCATTTTTCTGTTTCACTTCACACGTGAGGAAAATAGATAGATTTTCATGACGATAGCAATGATGAATCGATTGACGTCGGTGAGTCACGTTGAAATACTATATTAGAAATACACGTGGAAAATATGATGGATTTTTAGATTCACTTTAGAGAAACCAATCTAAATGCAAATATCAGATACTGAAAATTAAACTTTCGCGCGGATATCGCTCTTTTTTTTCCATAAATACTCTATGAATGAATCGTCAATGATAAAGTCGATGAATTTCTATGAGCAGATCACGATAAGAAACTCATGTGCATTGTGATGAATAGTATTATCGAGTAGTTGTGAAAAATTCACGTTCCAAGTAATATAAGATAATATGTAAAATTATTTAATTATAATTAATTTGCAAGTTTAAGTTATGAACAGCTTAAAATTAAAGTAATGATAATGAGCACTGACATGTAAATTGTTCAGAAATTGAAAAGAATGGAAATATTTAGTATTTCCGTATTGCATTCTTTCTGTTATTTTTTTTGTGATATATTAATTTTTTTCTACTTAAATGTAGGAAAATATGCATCGATAGATGAACCATTTTTTTCTAGTACAGAATATTTTTAATTATTTTAATTATTTCTCACGCCGTCATACAGCAACAAATTAAGGATAGCTGGTTCGAGAATAGTGAAGGGATGCGATATTAATCCGTTTTCTATGAAGTATTCTGCTTTTACATTCTCGAAAATATGTGACCTACATAGCATACGATTCCGAATGTAAAAGTAACGAGCGACAGATAACGTTTACAAGTTTAAGATAACATTCAGACAGATTTCAGATTCATGGCTGCTTATTTTTCAGAAAACAAAAATCTTTATTTATTGCCATAGATTACTTGTTAATGATTCTTTATAAATAAAAATCAAGTCAAAAGATAAAAGCTGATAGCACATTTTGTTTTAATATAAAATTATGAAGTGAAGACATAATTTGTGAATAATCTTCGACAACGAAATATTCGTTTTATATTTCATATTCCGTAGTTATTAATATTTGATTGTATAATAAAAATGTTATTGTTATAATTAATTTGTTAAGTCGTTATTAACTTAACGATACAAATATATGTATAATTAAAATCATTAGAAAACTTGGATAGAGTTATACAGGCAAAACAAATATTTTTATTTGCTTTTTCCTTCTTAATTGAATATCTAACGACGCTCGACCTTTTTCATTAATTAAACTTCTAATTGAACTTATATTAAAATAATATTCAATTAAAATTAACTGAAAAGTGAGGATTTATTATCTTTTTGTACTTACGATTTGATTTACCAGCTCTTTTTCAATTTTCGTGTTAATTACAAATTCTTGTCGTTTAAAAGAACGCCACTTTTTTTAGTCTTTTTTTTTTAATACATAATAAAAGGTTAAAAGGAGATTGAAGTATGGTTGAAAGGATATTCACTGGTTTTGCATTATCGTAAAGAAAACAAAAATATATTAATAAAAAGTATAAAATATAAGCGATTTACACACAAATTTTATGCGCGCCAGCATTCGAGAGCTCGTAAGCATGTTTTTCGAAGATGCACGAAAACAGCTGGTCTGCATAGGGATTTGTATTTTATGCGCGGGAATAAGCTATTAAAGAGATTTGCTGATCCGGTGACCCTACTTTTTATGCAGATGTAGATCCGTATTTTTATCACATACGTCTCTAAATGTGTCGGCATTCTCATCTTACGTTAAACTCGGAAACATTTGCGTTCCAGATGCAATCCTAAAACGATCGCATGATATCACTCGGCTTGTTCACCTTTTTATTTTTTTCTATTTCGTTTTTTAATTATTTTTCGCGAGTTTCTCGCCGCACTATTCCACACTACGCTATTTGTATTTCCCGACATTGTGTGAAACATTGTAATGACATGTGCGAACTCATTGAAAAAAAAATGTTATATCGGTCAGCTCAGATATAGATAAACTGGAAAACATTCGTATTTCACTTTATCTTCCGCTTATGTGGAAATCTTTCGCATTAATTAACTTGATATTAATTTACATTGATAATGGTAATGAGCTACGCGAAAACTGATCTATCGCTTATCATTGTTGCAGAGGCGGACTGCCGAGATAACAGTGGACAGCGAGGAGCAGAATGCGGTGTTCGTCCGTATCTCCGGTGAGTACATAATTTTTCGTCGTCTCTTGTAAATTCCGAGGCACCGCGTAGGCACTATCTTTTGATCGTGTACGTCGCGCGGCGAACAATTGATCCCGAATAGGATAAAGTAAGGTAATTTTGGTGATACAGGAAATTTGATAAAAATCATCAGTTCAGTTCTATTGTGCTTCACAAAGCTAATTTAGTTATATAAGACAATTTAGTTTATCGGTAAGATTTTTTTTTTATTTCAGAAATGAATCAAATCTTATTGCATTTCTGCAACATTTTGTGCAATTTTATTAGATTGTTTTAAATTTCTATAATATTTGTGTTTTTAATGCATATATTCTATCGAGGAAATATATTGATTCGATTTTATTATATTCACGAAACGAAAAAACGTAGTATTAAGTTGAAGTTGATTCGCATTTGTAAAACGAAGAAACATTGTGCCAAGTTAAAGTTTTGTGAGAAAATTATGTCAGTATATCGCCTCGATATTTTTGTTCAGGTAATGTCGATTCTAAATTGGTCAAAGAAATTGCCCTGAAAATATGCATTAATGAGGCACGCTGTACGACAATTATGACCAATTATACTCGAACATCGTTTGATGGTCACATTTTGTATGTTTCTTTATCTTCCTTTGTAATGTACAATGTGGTCTAAAGTGCGAGTCACACGTCACGAATTTCGTCGAGATAATCTGACAAATTTCGCAATACTCCGGGGTCGTTCACCATGCAAATCGTGGAGATCGTGGAGATAACGGAAAGCAAAATCATGGCGATAACATTCGTTTATGCACCGCAGCATCTACCATTTCTTTCAACAGATAGCTCATAATTAGCTTAGACTTGAATCGACATCCGACCGATAACCGAGTTAATTACGCGCAAACGAATAAAACGTAATAATTGTCTCTTCATTTATTTGCCGCGGGCCGGTCGCTAGAGAGAAGAATGCATAATTTATTCGACTTGTGAAATGCTTATCTCTTTTATTGTTGCGGAATGTATCACGCATAATGTACAGTGTATTTCGTTATTGATGCGACCTAAAAAAATGTAATTTAAAATTTATCAAAGCTTTATCATGGAAGAGTTTGAATTTAAAAATTTGATTTGGAAATAAGAAATTTTTTTCTCTATCTTGCTCGTGTATCAAAGAGTTTTATATCATACCAGGCTTTTTTTTGTAAAATCATCGCTTTTTTATAGTTGTGCCATTAGCAACGCATCACCCTGTATATGATACACATTATCCTCGCAATATGCATCAGTGTTACTTACGAAACGACTGCAATTTGCATTTTGCAACGAGAACAGCGCGGATAAAACGCAGTATGCATGCAAGTGTGCAGCGCTCAGTTTTATTTTGCAAATTAAATAAGATACAATGGTGCACACAATGGAACATTATTAGACGAATTAATGCGAAAGGCTAGTTTATCAACTTAGCTATACCATTGTGCCACTTGTCTCTTAATTAGAAGAAAAGATCTACAAAAGATAAATGTTTCCTATTCAAACTATTTATTGCAAATTATTTTTAGGTGCTTTCCGCTTCTTCAGTTATTTTCAAATTATTTTAGAGAGGAAAATTCGCAAGTTAAGTATTTGAAACGAAATTTTACTTTATGAGATTGAAATTTCATAAAAATCGATAAAAAGATCTCTTTAGCTGCGAGCAGAAAGTAGGTTAGCAGTGGACGATAAGAATTCTGTCATAAGCAAGAAAATGTATTTTGATCCGGAGAAAGTTCAGCAAAAAAAACGGCGGAAAGTTAATTTCGTCTTATCGCCAGTCTCGATGCGAATCCCTCAACCAATTTGATTAAAACTGCCAGTAAAAGCATTCACATTTAAACACTCGGCCTCAAGATCTGCAATTGAGCGACATTAAGCGAAGAATAGAACGTGATTGCGAATCTCATTTACGTGACTCGTTGCCGAATCGATCCGTCGTCGACTGAGGTGTCTTTGTTCCATTAAGTATAAACTATTGAAACGTGTATCTCGGTTAGTATCATTGTATTTTCCTCAACTCACCTTACACTCGCTCTCGGCTTTACAACACTTAAATGCGAAAACTTTGAAAACTTTATCGACGTTCTATTTGAAAAGTTCATTAACGGAACGTAAAAAGCGGGACAAAGTTAGCACACTCGACGATAATGAAAATCCGTCCGGTCCGAAAATAGAGTCGGCAAGGCACGCTAAAATTGTAATGCACTTCCGCGTGCTGAGTGCACGCGAACAAGGGAACGTCGATTTACGCGGTCGATCCACGTGTTTGCAGGTACATACGGGGGATAGGTATGCGAGTGCGAATGCGGTGCACGTTGAGAAGGTGTGACTGACGCGCGATTCGTACAATCGAGTTAAAATTAATGGGGACCCGGCGTGTTTATATTCAGCGGTCGTTTCAACGTTGAAAGCATATTTTTACCTTTTTATTTATATAATTAATTCGATTATTTCGTGCTCGCGCAGAAAACCGAGAAGAATCGGTGAATCGCGTGTCGTGAAGTATCCTCGTGAATGCAGATGCACCGGATGCTGATTAATGTACGCGGCTGTATAACGTACGAGTAATTGTCCGTCCACGGCAATGACCCGGTTAATGCGTAACTGTTGACATTAGTCACGTAGCTTTAACTCACAACCAGAATTCCATTTCCAGGATTTCCTAGCGAATCCGATAGGATTTCTAGAAGCTCTCTAGTCTCGAGTGTCATTGTACTTTACTTATGAAATCAAAACATGTGCGAGGGTTTTGCATATTTACACTGCGTTGTTAATATTATTAACCATCAACGTTCCATTTGTGAGGCAAAAATTTATTGAATATATGCAAAATAATTCTAGCAATTAATAATTCATTTTTTAACCTTTTCAATGTTTTTTTTGACATATTTGATTTCTTTATATTTTTCGAAGAGAGTGAAAAATGCACGATAATTTTATGCGTAATTGCCTGAAATATTATCTAAATAGCTTTATTTTATTCTATTATCGAATAATGCCGCGAGCAAGGTGCTGCTATCGTATTTAAAATTTATTAAAAGTGATTTACCGTCGACGAAATATTGAAAATGCCCACCATTTCATAGATAGCAGCTTATTTCGTAATTCCGGCACATCGACCACGTTACCGGAAATCCGTGATGAATCTGCGACGGAGACAGCGTTCAGACGTCTATCGAACGCGGACCGAATCCTGCTGGAGAGCCTGGACGTCGGTCGATACAGGCCCAGGCACACCGGCCGATTCCTGACGATGCACAAGAGACGGCGTAAGAAGCTCGCCACCAGATCTTTGAGTCAGGAGTCCGGTATCCTGGATGACATTTTCCACGGGCTAGTACAGGTAACATAACAAAATCAAATGCTGCGTCAGTTGCACGTGTCCGTCATTAAGCACACTTTCAACTGTAAATTTTCATCTATTTTAAATTTATTTTTCTTTAGCAAAATTGTCGAGCAAAGTTATTATTTATTGTAACTTTTCAATTTTTATGCGTCGACATTCGATTTTGTTGCGTGCTTTGTTTTTTATAATTTAATTTTTAAAACGTCTTATATTTTTATTGGCTTCTAACTTAAAAATTATAAATGCACATTTGTATGTACATTTAAAAAAAATTTTATGCAGAATTAACGAAAGAATCTGAGAGGAAAGGAAGCGCTGCAAGAAATATTTCGAATATATTTGAATAGTGCAGTAATTGATAAAAGTTGCAAAATTTCTCGGATTTAGAAATTTCCGAGCATTGTCAGAAATAAATGTGATTTTTTTGTATCGATTGTACTTATATTGAATAAACATACTCAATCTTTTCATTGAAGTTATTATCGTGTTATGTTATGTGTTCGTGTCGATTTATCATATTCAAATTATACACGTTTTACAGTGCGTGTTACAAAGAGCCGGAAACTGGCGATTTAATGCTTTCACACTGGAAACCGTCACAGGTGGTAAGTATTATTCATCGTACGCAATCATTCAGTGTACGCAAGTTTTTCTGGCATTAATCAAATATGCAATTTTAAATTGTAGATTTCATCCTTCCCATAATTTTTATTTCAATATTGTAGTTTTTTACGATTGTGCATATTCTAGAACTGATTTTACCCACTATTTCCATGTTTATATTCAATTTTTCAAATTTACAGTTCAAATCTTCTTTACATCCTTGTATTTTATTGGCAAATTTTAAATTCTAATGAAGAACTTTTGATATAACAAATTTAAATGAACGAACAGTACAGTAAATATTCCATATTTCGTACGTGCTATATTTTGAACGGATTTGGACATTCAAATATAAATTGGATATTTAAATATAATTGAATATTTAAACATAATTGGAGTGGAATCAATGTCAAATACGAATCAATTATCTAAAGTCCCGTCTAGAACAATTAAATATTTGAAAGAAACATTTTATTTGAATTTATTCGAATTATTCAAATTACTAGAATATCGACAGACCTAATTTATATGCGTTCACGTGTCATAAACTAAAATTAGCATGAAAGTTAAAACATGATCGTTATTCATTATAGATTCATTTCTATGTAGCTATACAATGTGACGAATAAATAATGAGACTATATTTATTTAAAGGAACGCTACTATGCGTGTGCACGTAATTGGTTTATTTTATTCATCGATCGTCGTTTCCAGGTCGTTCGCTACCGGTATTGTGTGTCCATCTCTTTCACTGGTATGGACTTTTAAAACACTTCAGATTGGATGTCGTAACAGTATGGAAGCTATTCGGTAAGCAAGATTTATTAATTATAAATGTTCTAGAATTTCTGGATTCTGAAAAATTATTAGCTATATTACGCGTTCACAAGAAATTTTAAATGCGTTATAATATCAAATATTGTACTTCACAGTCGATTTTTTATCCTATCTTTGCATTTTACCGATAAATTTTTAATTTCTACGATATTGTCTGATTTTTATCATTGCATAGAAAAAGAGATATTAAAAGAAAAATAGAATAAAAATAAAATACTAAATTCTTGAAGAATTATCGATCCGAATGTCATGACTAGTAATTCGTATAATTATTCAATTGAAGCTTTTATCGAGGAGGGTTATCACAGTACAAATCCTTACCACAACAGTATACACGCCACGGACGTCACTCAGGCGATGCATTGCTTCCTCCAAGAAAAAAAGGTAATTACATATCTATTTGCGGCTTTACAGATCAATCTATTTGATGATCTAAACGTCTAATAATTTTATTCCTCAGCTAGGTAGATTAAACCGAACTATATATTTACAGATAAAAACACACCTAACAAATTTAGAAATCATGGCTTCCTTGATAGCGGCTGTAACGCATGATTTAGATCATCCAGGTGTCAATCAGCCGTTCCTGGTCGCGACGAGTAATCATTTGGCTGCACTGTATCAGGTAAGGACAGCTCTGATAACGAGCTTTATCCGATTGACAGAAAATTTTACTCCTTACCGGTCTATTATTCGATGCAATTAAGCGATGTCTAAATTGAAGTTTAATTATTTTCAGAATACCTCTGTTCTTGAAAATCATCATTGGAGATCGGCCATAGGGTGTCTTCTGGAGAGCGGCGTCTCGGCACAATTACCGGCCGATGTGAGACCAGAACTTCAACGGCATATCAGTTCGTTGATCTTAGCGACAGACATTACGAGGCAGCAAGAGTTTCTCACACGTTTCAGGGTACGGTTTATTAAAACAGTTTTCACCTTAATTACCCGAATTAATCGTCGCGTTTCGCTTTACAGGATTATTTGAGCAACAATTCGCTCGAGATGAAGCGCGCGGAGGATCGTCATTTTATTCTGCAAATTGCCTTGAAATGCGCCGACATTTCCAATCCGTGTAGACCGTGGGATATATCCAGGAAATGGTCTTACAAGGTCTGCGAGGAGTTCTTCAGGCAGGGAGATTACGAGCGTCGTTTAAATCTTCCGGTGACACCATTGTGCGACCGCCACACCACCAGCATCCCGAAGATCCAGGCGGGCTTTTTCAAGCACGTTGTCACTCCTCTCTACGTGGAATGGCACCGTTTCCTCGGCGACGGCCTGAGCGTATCGCTGATGGAGTACTTGAAGACGAATCAGAAAAAGTGGGAGGCGTTGATCAACCAAGAGGCGGCCGAAGAAACGGAGACCGAAATTTCCGAGCTGGATGAACCGGAGGGCGCCGTTAGTTCGGGCGAGGAAACGGCCGCCGACGAGGATTCGGGCAGTATCGATTTACTGATACCGGCGACTTTGCAAACAGGACGAATGCCGACGCTGCCAGGACGAGTCGGTCTCGATCGCGTCGGCCGGCGTCACTCTGTACCTTTGAGCCTATCGAAACCGTTGAGCCTGCCTACGCGCCAGGCTGCCAGAAGAGAGAGTCTGCCGAGCGCACAGATGAAAACGAAGAACATCTTGCTGAAATTGGAAGATCAGAGTCTGTTGGAGCCGAGCTCCTTGTCCCTACTGTCCTCCCGAAGCAGCATGGCCGAATCGCCGAACGTCAGCGCCACCGCCGAGAGGCCGGTCAGCGCGGAAAATCTCCTACCGGAGACGAGCATAGCCAGCATCACCAGCAGCACCGAGGCGTCGAGATTGAGCACGGTCTTACAATCGGACAATCAGCCCGGCGCGCAAACCAAGCAACTCACGCGGCAACAGACCTTCCCTCCGCTGCAGCCGTACGCGAGAACGAGATACATGTCCGCGACCGCGGAGATGTCGCAGTGCTACACTCAGGTTCTTCTGGAAGCCGACAGTTCTTCTAGTTGTTCGAGCCCCGCGAAGGAGAAGTCGTGTTCGAGCGGGCGGTGCTGCTCGCCACCGTCGCCGCACGATCCCGCTGCGTGCCGACAAAAGAAGCCCAACACCCTGAAAATTCTCTCCAAGGAATTTCTGATGGTGGACATGCCTGCGAAGAGACGGGGCTCGACCTTGTCGGACACATTTAGACAGAAGCACGCGGACAGCTCGGAGCGTCGCCACTCCGTGCAGACTATTCGCACCGACGATTCTTTCTCCAAGCATCGGCATAAAAGGCCTTCCTCTGCTCAAGATTCCGACTCCACGCAGATGTTCTACGCCACACTGACGGGTTCTCACTGTGAGAAGGACAGTCGTGTTTCCGATACGTCGGTTGCGCAGTGTAAATCGGATTCGGGCTGCAATGCCGAACGTAAGTGTCGCGACGCGAAGTCGACGATTCAAGAATCACGGACTACGTTGTCGTCCAAAAAGACGGATCAATGTGCTTCATCGGCTAAGAGCGCGTGTTCCGAACACGAGCCGCGGAGATATTCGACCCCGATCACAGAGTGTAGAACGATAACGACCGACAGTGCAGGTAGACGTTACACCACAATACCCGTGTCTTCTGAGCTTAGCACTCACAAAGTGTTCTTTATCGGTAGTCCTCCCGATTCGCCGCCCCGTAATCATAGTGTGTCCTCGTCAAGTGACAGTGGTAGTGAGCCGAAAAGAAGTATCGGTGATATGAGTAACGAAGCTGTCGTCATCGGCGGCAAAAGGGAATTGGATTGCATGAAGGAAAAGAATTCCAAGTTCGCGAAGCTGAGTCCCGACAAGCAGATGAAGGAGAATGTCGATCCTCGTACGAACGACGACTTTGCTAAAGCATTGGCATTGTCCCGTAAGGGTAGTCAGGTAATCTAAAAATTATAGATTTTTAGTTTCTTATTGCAGTCAGATTATTATGTCAAAAGCGTATCAATTTTCCAAGAATTGTTTAAAGGCTCACAATAATTAATAAAATCGTGATATGAGAAGGGGATCAAGAGCCGATGCTGGATGTAAGTCTTCTTAAAACTTATAAAATATCCTCTAATGTAACCGTCATTTCATACGAGACAGAAAAATGTGTGAAAATATGTGTAATCTTTGACTAGTAGTCTGTTTAAAAGGTAGGTAGCTCACAATCTTTTAAACAGACTACTAGTCAAAGATTACACATGTCTTCACACATATTTCTGTCGCGTCTGAAATGACAGTTGCATTAGAGGACGACTTCCAACGTTTTGTTTTATGAGACTCACAATTCTTCGAATTCCAGATTTTGAACTGAAGATGATCGGATTGACGACAGAAACGTTTACTCAACTCTTTTAAATAACGAAGATTTAAGAAGCACTTACATCCAGCGTCGGCTCTTGATTCCCTTCTCATATTACGATTTTATATATTTTCCTTTCATTATGCATCAAAATAAATTAGTTTTTTCGCATGCCGTCACTCGTGTTCGATCGATTGGTAAAATGTATTTCTCTTTTTAGTTTAAATACTTGAGAGAGTAATATTTGTATTGTAAAATTTAGTAATCGAATACATATAAATTTACAATTATTTTATTACAGTTTAAAATTTAAGTTGATTACTTTGTTCTTCGTTTTTTCTAGTCACATTATCACAGATATCTTTATAATATTAAATTTAGGGATGGGCAAGGAGACGAGGGTCAGCTCCGGTTGGTCTTCTCGCAAGATTGGACGATTTCACTCCAACTTCTGTATCTTCAAGAGTCGATCAAACTTGTAGGCGTGGATCTGTGCCGACTGATATCACTAAACATCAAGGTATTTCGGTACTCATAAAAATACAGTATTTTTTAGATAACGCATTACTAAAACAATATTCAAGACACAATAACTTGATTACGTGCGAAAGCACATTTTCATTGAACAAATAAGTAAAAGTTAAATTTGCTTTATCTCTTGTACGGCGCTTGCCATTTGCATCATAAATATGATTTTTTTTTTCCTTACATACTAGGAGGTTGCAATCGGCTTGCGTTAGGACCTCGGGGAGGGGAGAATTGTTCGGCCCTAAGAAGAGCTAGTCTTCCGCAAGAGACTGCACTGGGAAATATTCTCACTTTGGCTGGTAAATGTACTTTTTTGGTGCTCTTGGTATCACAAAACGGAACGGAAATGTAACCCTCTGCATTATTTCAGGCGAGCGTGAAAGCTTCTCGATGAACAATAACAACAACAACAATAATACCAGCAGCAGCAACAACAACGGCATCAGCAGACTGTTCGACAGCACTGCTTCCGGGATGCTCTCTCCGAGACGAGGATCAGTGCCAGCAGACATATCCGAGTTACGTCGCGATCTGTTCAGTAGAAATAGCGTAAATAACAAGTCGCGCAACCGCAAAAAGGTTCTGAGGAGACGGAGTAGCGGTGGCCCGGAAATGTTCACCGCGGGATCCAACGACGGGAACGATAACGGCACGTGGCTCAAGTCGAAGAGGGAGATAGGAAAGCGCGAACCTGTCCCCGAAGCGCTTATCAAGCGAAGAGGATCCCTACCCATTGAGATGGTGGCTGTTTCACATGCTGGTCGGTACAACCATAGATAGAGGAGGATGTCGTAACACGAACGGGTACAAATACGTTTTCCAAAAATACACATATATCACCATCATCCTTTTTCCATTCTAGAGAATGGCTGCATTCAGGAAATATAACACAGTTTTTTTGTGTGCGTCGAATAAATGTTGAGTGCGCAAAGATTCATCTTAAGTTAATCACAAATAATCAACTTTTGCATTTCAAATTGTATCCTCTGAATGCGCGCATATAATGCAAGCCGATCTCTTCCTTCTCACCTTGTTTTTCATACATACGTCGGAAAAACTGAACAGAATAACAAACGGATTGAAATAAATTCCATCTTACTCACGACGGATCATGACAGTTGTAGGATATATCATTTTTTTAATTGGATCTGACGAGATTTTTTTGCTTGTTTGCTACAGGATCAACATCGGCGCCACGCAAATCTAGCCTGTGGCGGCTTTAGCGTGCCGTAAAAACATGAAGACCGTCCATGCTACCAGCGATTAACGTCGGATCGCTACCACGACAGTCTTTCCTCGAATTATCAGCAGTAGCGTCAGCGACGATTGATTACTGAATTTCAAGATTGCCAATACTGAAGACTTTCTTGTCGATTATGAACGTGAGCAGATGAATATTATATATAATTACATTTTCGATGATTTTAAATGTTAGATATTGTTATATTGTTACGCGGACGATAAACCGATCTGCATCTGAACCGCGAGTTTGGTTAACAGTAATGTCGAAATAATTGCGATACTATATGTATTCTTGCCTGTGCTAGACAAATCGAAATTAGGTGGAAGCTTCGTTTTTGATTAATCGAAAAGACGTGAATTTATAATATTACATGTATCGGCATATCGAATATCGAGATGTTAGATCGTATAATCAATCAATATAATCGAACAAAGGAATGTACAGAGCATTGTATTTCTAAAGTCTTCCTCGCAATTTATGTGTCCGCGTGGAAGAAGTAAGAAAAGTCCTTGAAATAAGAGCCACATTTATTTGTGCCATAAGAGGCATCCAACAATACGAGAATTGTTTGAAATGCGATACTCTGAAAGCAAAACCTGTATAACCATGGCTCAAGTTAAACTAACAGAGTTTACTAAGGAATAAAAGAGAGAAAGAGAGAGAGAGAGAGAGAGAGAGAGAGAGAGAGAGAGAGAAAACAGTCATATACACAGGGTTCAATATGACGATTTTTTAATAATTAAAATGCTTAGGAATGGAGAAGGAGAAAAGACTGGTAGAGAAACTCGTCGTTATAGATCTAGACGTTAAAAGAAAGACGTAGATCGAACAAAACGAAATGACATTTGCTCATAGATAGGGAAAAATTTCGATTTTTCGAAAAACTCACGGCAGGATAACATTATTTGCAGGCCATTGATTAGCGAATCGCGGTGCATCTCATTTGTATTTATGAAATAGTCTCTTTGGCATTTTTTCCATAATTTATATTCGTTAACATTTTACATCAAACATATGTATATACAAGCCAATAGAAGGGAAAGAAATTTTATTGTATTTTTACATTGAACATAATTTGAAATAACAAAAGCTATTATAGCTGGCTCCTAGAATGAATATACTCAATTTTCTTGGAACGATTTTCTTTGACGTTTTATCAGTTATAAAGCATTCCACGGAAAAAAAAAGATAGCATACAATATATAAGATACAAATTAGTTGAATAATATAACAATAACAATAATAAAAATAATAATATAACAATAATAAAATAATACTAAAAATAATAACAGTAATAGCAACAATAAAGTTGCCATTACTACTTTTATCATCGTTCACGATTTCGTAATCATCAGCGCATCGCCATCATCATTATCATCGTCGTTGTTGTTATAGTTATAACGATGTTCAAATAAATCGACGTTTTACAATTAGGCTATAGTGATATGTGCGCCATGTGCGGTTTATCATGGAGTTAATTAGTTAGCAAAACATGTTGTTTAATTATAACTATTATTTATTATCGACGGTTGCGACGCATAGGTTTATAGTACGTGAAACAGGAATAAATCAAAAGATAACATAAAGGTGCATAAACGCGTAATCTTTAAAAGCAAAAGTTGCGTTAATGCGAACATATTTTCAATACAGATATTATTAAACTGCCCTTACGTAAATACGATAGCTGAATGCGAATTCAGGAGATACCATCCTCAATGATACCTGTATGTTATTGAAACTATCATCGGTAGAGAGAGTTTTGATAACGCTGTTATATTTACATTCGAAAGAGCACAAGGAGCGGAACTTTGACTCTTCGTCGTTAAAAGTTCACGTTTTACTTCACGTACTGCTACAAACCTGTCGTCTCTCAGACTGTCCGAAAGTAAAACAAATAATACTGCTAAGTCATATAGAAACTCAAGAATGAAGAGTATCGATTATAAGTTTTACAGTTAATCAAAAATAATCATTGATATCCGTATCGACATTATAGATAGATTGTCCGTTTTTAAGGAAGAGATATTTGCGAATGCTAGCGGTCTTTCTCTCATCAATTTTCCAAACTTTCTCGATCCAGCAGCTGCCAGCGCTTTATATGTATTTCACTTTTTTGACCAGAACTGACTTATTCGATGATGTCACGTCACTTTAATAACTTTAATATGTACCGTAACGATATTTTCTACCGCTGCAAAACATCTGAAACCAATAATTTTTTACCGTATCGGTAAACGGAGCATGCGACATCGTACGACGATGAAATATTGTACGAGAGTATATTAATATTTTAAGTTAGCGTCAAATTTCCTAGTCTTTCGAATCCGTAAGAAAATAGTGTATATATATATATATATATACACGCGTCATGCAATTAATATTCAAATAATACCACGAAAACATTTGAAGGAAAGAAGAAATCGAGAAATTTAATTAACAAATTTATTTAGTAAAAACTTCTTAAGGGACTTATCTTTACCAGACAGACCAATCAAATGGGACTAAACGAGAAACTCTTGTGAAAGCCGTAATTAAGCTTGCTTGGAGTAAATACGAATTCTCAGTACTTCTGTACATGACCACGCTGTCCAAAAAAAAAAATCACTTTTTGAAGAATTTATTGCACTTATAGATATACATATTCCCTTTTATCATACAAACCACCCCCTTGCTCCACTAAGGCTTAATCGATGTTCTTTGAGACTAAAAAAAAAAAGAAAAAAATAAATAAAAATTCTCCGAATATTTCTCCTCTGCCGATCTCTAGATACTGTGTATTTGTATCGTACGATTTTCTATGATTACCATTCCCGAAGGGATGTTAAGAATTAACGAAATGCAGTAAGATTGTGAGCTTATGAAACAAGAATTTTGTTGTATCGATCTATTTATCGCGGCGGAAACAATGATCGGTATGCGTTGCAATGGACTCTCACTGTAGCTCGTTAATGATTACTATAGGTGTGTTTGGTGTACGGATGTAATACATAGCAAATAACGCAAGTATCTTTTGCGATATCAATTCGGATATTGGTATTTTTCACCATTACGTTTTTAACCGGCGTAAATGCTGCGTTAATTTACCTCTCTCTTGGGAATCCTCACTGTCATTTAATCATTTAATTACGATAAACTCTTCATTGTGTCAGTTATTTAACAATATGTGTATATACATTTTTCTAGACGAACTAATTTCACAGTTCAAATCTTTATGCAAAATAAGTTTCTCGTGAAACTAAATTGATAACTTTTTTATCAATATATTTATATCAATTGTGTAACGTTATCAGATGGTTGTTGTGTGCGCGCGCGCATGTGTGTGTGTGTGTGTGTGTATGTGTGTGGTATCTCGAAATATTAAATAAAATAATTTTTTCGTTCTTTACACCTCTTTAACAATGGCGTTACTAATGTTTCAGTGGTTCAAGGGGATATAAATGATAAATAATAATTTTGACTCTTATCGTTATTGTCTTATGTGTAAACGATATTCCCCAAATCTAAAAATTTTGCAAACCCGTGTAACTGGCGAGCAAGCAAGTGCTATTTGCGCAGAATTCATAGAATTTACGGTAATGCGAACAAAGGGTTGTACAATAATAATCGTCATCGGAATGCGTTTTCCGCAACTGTGCAACTTTCACAACGCATCACGCTCATTCTGTCGGTTTCGAATATTTTATGTTTCGAACGCCCATAGACGAGCATAAAATTTCAGCGCAAATCGCAGTATTGGAAATGTCAATTAAAGAATTCGCGCGCAAAAAAAAAAAATGGGTCTGTTTGATGACAAGAAAGTTATCGTGTATTTTCTATAATGTTGGTGGTAGATATATATAGCTAACTACGCTAGATGCAATTAAATGATGTGTTCTTATCGTTATCTGTAATTTAACTATAATATCGTTAACGACAAATACGAGACTACATGGAATAATATACACTACGAGAATGTGCGTGAATGGATTTCGGGAAGGATGAGCGAGCGTGTCCTTTAGATAGTTGTCTCGATTGGCTATATGACGACGTTATCAACAATATGTATGGTGGTTCTAAATGGCCTATTATATTTATTAGACAAACGATTATACTATTGATAGTATGTATGGTTAATACCCGAATTTTTCCATAGTCCCTTGGTTGTACCGATTATTTATTTTGCGAGCGTATATGTGATTTTATTAATATTATAAAGGAGACACTCACGCGTTATATTACCAGATTAGAGACGAATAAAAGCGAGAGACACGATATGTGTAAACTTGTTTTCTTTATTAAAAAGATCTCTAAAAGTTATGTAGCGTTTTATTATCTTATGTCAACGATAAAAGAAATAGGTAATCGAATGTCTTTCCAGACAAAATTTTGTATATATATAAATAGCAACTTTTTTATCTAAAAGGCCATAATTATACTACCGGTTGATTCGGCTGACTGCTTCGGCGATTTGAATTTCCCGCGAGCGCGCGATGCGACGCAGGTGAGCCAACATACCGGACCGGGATATGCACTGTACATATGTTGCGTCATATTGCGCACCGTGCCCCGGAATCAGTGTCGCGAATCTCGTTTTCAAAGCGACGAGTCCGCACGCATACACATGTCGCGTCGTGAAATCAAATCATCGGCCCGGGAAGCGACAGTCCGTGAATTGCGCGCCGCGCGAATCCTGCCGGGTGTACGTTGTGCACGATCGTCGGTCGTCGCCGCCGCTGCGGCGTGCGACGTCGTCATCGTCATCACCGCCTCCGTCGTCTCCGTCGCCGTTGTGTCGTTGTTGTTGTCGATTCAGTGCGTGTCCGTGCGAGCTCGGTGGGTCAAAATGGCGTGAACCGACCGCGCGCTTTTAAGGTTATCTTCGATCGCAGTGGGTTTCATCGTGTAGCGGGACCGTGTACACGCGACATTCGTAGTTGTGTTTTCTGTAGTGCGTGTTCGCGCCTTATGCACCCCGTCGTCCACGTTCCACGAACACATCTGCGTTTTCCGTGCTGTGAGTTACATGAATTATGAGGACGGAATGCCCGCAGGCGGTAACAGTCGTATCCGCGCTTACCCAGCGCGGATGTCCGAACGGCAACAGCTTGCGCTACTCATGCAAATGACTTCTCAGGAAATGGTATCAGGTGAGAGAAAAAGCCGAGAAAGAGTAAATAAACATTCATCGAATGCCCATTCAGCGAACGTGACGGGAAGCGCGAGGCGAGCGCGAGGTGGTCGCGCGGCGCTACCGTTGTGTGGTCGCGCGCGCTTTTCCCGCGCGATTAGGTCGCATTGATGGCACGTGTCGGATGATTTGTCGCCTAATTAACTGTAACGTGGGCTCGTCGCGGTTCACAGAGATGAGCTGCCAGGTCAACAGGCACACAGCAGCGAGCTGTGACATCGTATTAGATGACACTATAGGTTGTGTTGACTGTTTATTGGTATTCGGTCAAATGTGCATGGCGGACGAGCGTTCGGCGGAATGGCATCCGTGGAAATTATGCAGTTACATGCTTTCACATCGCTGTTTGCGTTTACGTGGGAAAAGCGATGGAATGCGGGTGCGGAAGGATCTAGTTATTTCATTCAAATGAGTTTTGCTCGCCTGCCAACGTAGTCAGGTTTACCAACCACTGCGCAGTTGACAGGTGCATTGAATAAATGCCGCGCGTTTTCTGTTATTCGCTTTTTGTTTTTCACACGAAGTAGGATTTGTAAACATGATTCTGAATGGGTTGACAATTTTCCGCATAAAACGAGATCCAGAAATTATCGCTAATTTAATTATAATATCGTGTTTTTATTTCGATTGCTTATTACCCGCATATTTATATTGCCATACATGAACAATAGGTTTCCTAACCTAAAGGTATGTTATTTTGAACGAGTTGTTTTTTTTTTTATATAATATTGAGAAATTGTTTTAATCTATTATTATTTTCGTATTTTACACATTAAAGTACCCGATATTATCATTAATTAAATTATCAGACGTTATGCAAATGCGTATTTTGCTTATTTAGCTAGATAAATGTTTGATCTTTTTACTTTTTAATTATTGCATATAAACTACTATGTGCATTACAAGTTATATAATCTTCTCATTTTCTGATGTATATTTTTTAAATACAATATAAGATATATGAGTGAAACATGATGAAATTTATTGTTAACTTCAAGAATTAGTATTGAAATTGCATTATTACTTGTACAATTACTTTTATCTGATTTAAACCATTAAATAAATTATATGCAATGTATATATTCAAATTAAAATTACGTTAATATCTTTATGAAATTTGATGAAAATCATACAAAGCAATTCATAAGAAATAAAATTAGGTAATGCTTATTTTGATTTTACGATATTACTCTTTTGCATAAATATTACATTGTATGTAGGATGATTTTTAATCATTAAAGTTAAATGTCTTTTTTTTCTACTTTCAACAAAAATGGTCAAATTTTTATTTGACAAAGAGAAATTATTACAAAAGAGATATAAAAACTAATTTTTTTTAATTCTCAAATTAAAGCTTTATTTTAACAAAAATTTATATTTATTAAAATAAAGCGAAAATAATACATTTATATTTAATAAAAATTTTATTAAACTATAGTGCTTCAAGTGTAACGAGATATTTAACCTGAAAATTAAATTGTGGTTGTAAAAATTTAATGTTGCTTTAAATTATAAAAAAATTGATTGTCAAATATTTTAATGCAATTTAAGTCAAAAGCATATACAAAACTTAGGATAGTTATGGTTTATCTGCAATGAGCTAACAGCTTCTATTATTTCAATAATTATCACAAAGTACAATCTTAACTTATTGTTTTGTTAAAAAATTTTTATGATATACTTCATAGATTTCTATAGAAAATTTTACAATTTGTTTTAGGTATCTACGATACTTCTAAAATAAAATATAAGATTTTTATTGTATTATACACGCATGTACTAATTACAGAATTTTATATTAGGTGGAAATCGTCAGGAAAATACGAGCGCAACAAGCACCCCTTCGAGATCATCATCCTTGCAACAACAACGTGGTGCCAAGGGTCGCTGGTCAAATAAAAATGGAGAATCGCCCGTTCAAACGGCGATTAATCGTAAGGAGGATTTTCGAGTACGGCAGATGCTCGTGAATGGTTATGATATAAACGCATCTAGAGAGACAAATGGTAAGTAATAGAAATAGTAATTAATTATCAAGAAACGGCTTTTGTTCTAATTTTCGTGTAAAGACAAATCGCGTAAGAATATGTGTGGCGTGTTTATCGCGTACAAATTATAATACTGATAGAAGGAAGAGACTGAAAAGAGCGTTAATACGCAAGGTTTAGCTAGTTTGCCCATTGACACTCTAGTCGACAGGTGCACACATCCTTGTGGGATTATCGGAGTGGTTCGGGACGGACAAAACGTCTACTATTGGACAGGGAGGGGTGGCAGACAACTCTCGTACAGATCAATACTCGAGACAGGGCCGCAAGCGTTGCGGAGTGCTTTTTGAGAGCGAATAAATTGCACTGTTACATAGTACATTAGCTTTCGAGGCGCGATAACGATTCAAATAACGTATGTGTTAACGTCATGTGTTACGAATAAGTAATGCAGCATATGTATTAAAGAAAATGCCGGTGGTTTGACCACAGATGCAGATGGATAACAACCTATAGTCGAGTCGTAAAGATTATATTCATAAATTTTTTAGGAATTATTTTTAATACTGTAAAGACTTTAAACGTTTGATTTTATATGAGATTAACTTTTTAATATTTTATCTATATATTCCGCATAATATTTTGTAAGTGTTGTCATTTTTTAAATAATAGATAATTGAAATGTAATTAATGTAAGAAATTTTCATTTATTATGATTATTAACGTAATTCTATCAATCAAGTTTTACTGTTGCATAGTGATTTTATTTATTCAATTAACTTGATTTTTGCTTAAACGGAGCTGATTGATTTTTTAATGGCAAAGATTCTTGAAATAACATCACTACGTAGCGGGAAAAAATTCGGTGTAAAAGCACGGTCCTGAATTACCTGTGAGACAACATCGGCGACAAATCCAATGTTTCGAGGAAGAATTTCGAAGTCCGGCTTAAAGCCGAAGGTTCGGTGCTCTTTCATGTCAGCCAACATTTCTGAGCATCCCACGATTCTTGCTAATTCTTGTGATTTCGCTCCTGGCAATTAAAACCGACTGCAAACAATACGACTTTGTTGGGTATTGACGTAATATGATCAAAGTTGGAAAAAATAGATAGCGAGGAGGAAGTAATTACTGTGGGAAATTATTTCTCATGCGCAGCTCGTATTATTAAATAATTGAAAACGATTTATCTTTATTTATATCTTTGTTTTTATCTTTATTTATAATTTTATTCTTTTTTAAATCTTTCAATACATTTATTACCGGTGTTTGACCGATGCAATAATGCTTTAGATATTGCTTTACAAATTAGAGATATAATTATATCAAACAATCATATTGCATTCTATAAAATCGCTTCGATTAAAAATATTAATTGATATAATAGTATAATATTCTTTTATTTTCCGAAAAAGATTGCATTATATATATTCTTCTAAAAATGTTCTTATATTACAAGAAATTGTTACTGTCATTACTGTCGATCAAATCTAGAAATTCTCTGTTTTAATTGAAATGGATGAAGTTTTGAAGGAATAGTGCAGAGGAGAAGGCGATGTCAGGCGCCGCCCGTGTCTTTTCAAGTGGATAGAGCATTACGAGAGATGGAGGCGTTATACGCCGTTTGCCCTGTTTGCAAAGCTTGAGAAATATGTTACGTGCTAAATAGAGAGGATTTCTGTCTTTTTCCAAACGTGAGAGTATGATGCATAATTTTTTAGAGATTCCAATTCATATGCGAGTGGAGCTAATGTTTGTTGCATTGTGAGACGACACAATAGAATACCAGTTTCTCAATGCCTTATATTCTACGCACTATTATGGCGCGTGTATTATAAAGACATCAAGAAACCGTATAATATCTTCACAGAACAGTTTGTAGAAAAGGATTGAAAGGTGTGTGAAGGGGAGGCGGAACCCGGTGATCAATGTCAAATAGAAATGTCGCTAGCGATAAAAAACGAAGCAAGTTGTCGCAAACAAGGAGTCGCCCACGGCCGCGGCTATCGCCTTTAAAACACACATTGTTTTCTCACATGTGTAAATATCCTGCGAAAACACGAGTCTTGTCTTTCCTTGCGCTCGATGACAAACCGCGACGATAAAGAGGCCAACACGACCGATCTTTCCCGCTACGCATATCATTTTATTCCTTTCTTTCAAGATTATTATTTCATTTTCGAGAAACTCGTAGAAAACGCTCTGATTTCGTTGCGCAATTCATTTTACACGTTAATGAACTGAAATATTGTTTCATGAGCTTCAGAATGCAGCGAAATTGCGAGATCGCGCTCGCAATTTTGGCGCATTCCGAAATTCATCGGAAAAAGAATTACAATTTTTTTGCGAGCAATTGTGTAATAGCAAAGTGGGATCAATTAAACATTTTGCATCTCTTTCTCTCTCGCTCCGCGTAGGACCGACCCTGCGCCCGCCGGTGCGCGCGCGCGAGTGCCGCACGTCGCGGCACGTCATTGTGCACTCCGGCGGGGCGGAGGAGCAGAGAGAGCGAGGCGGTGCCCGGATCGAGCGTCGTCGTCGCGTCGCGCAATATGGCCACCAGTTCACGAGAGACCGTGTCCGCGTGCATGTCGGACGGCGTTTCGCGCACGGACTTTCCCCGGCGGACCGTCAGATGTCGCCGCGCGTGCTTTAAATCGGAGCCGAGTTTGCAGCGCGTCGGCGTGACCGATCCTCTGCGTTTAGTCCTCGCGAGAATCGTAGGGGAGGTTTGACCTGTCGCGAACGTCGACGGCTCACGGCCACGACGGGGCGGGGGGTGGGGGGGACGAGGGGAAGCGGTGATCGGATATCGCAACCATCGGCCGGATGCTCGAATGCGAGGAGACGTGACACTGCCGGATTTTTCGTATCGGTACAACTGCACCGCAGTGGGGTAAGAATCAATGATGATCCATTGATCGCAATCGTCGTATGTCGCGGTACCCCCCATGCCTGGCGTATGCCACCGATCTCCGTCGATTTAATCGTCAATTGATTAGCCGTAGATTCCCGTGGGACACGAGAGATCGGAGGAGTCCGTGGGTTCGTTTTTCTCGACGAGATTGATAGTCTCGTCGTAAAATGGTATCGACGATCAGCACGAAATGACATTGCTCCCTCCCTTCAGGAATCATGAATTCATACCGAAAGAGCACCGAGTCGCCGAGACGTAGATGTATCGCTCGTGAGAGTATATTCGCCAGGCAAATTTTGCTCGTGACAACACGTCGACACCGTCAATATGAACTCTCGTCAGCGAGGACGGTGTTCTAACCTTTCACTGATCGCGCCGCGCTAGAAGTACTTGATAGAGACCCGTCATATCGCTCGCACGGCTCTTTCCGTGGGAGAGATCTCCGAAGGAGCTCGACGTGGAAATCCATCTTTTAAACTCATAGAAACAGACGTTGCAGGCGCTGCTGGTTCACCGGAGGAGAGTGCAACAGCCGCTCCCGGCAGCCCGTGCTCCCCTGCCGAAACCGGCGCAGCGGCGGCGACGGCGGCAGCAGCGCCGTCGGGTGAACAGCAAGAGCAGCAAGCGCAGCAGCAGCAGCTCTATCAACAACAGCCGGCGCAGTACCAACAGCAGCAACGCGCAACAGGAAGCGCCGCAGCCGCTGCATCGCAAGTTCCTGAGGACAGTGGAGCCTCCTGTGAAATGCGGAGAACACCACCGCAAAATAAAGGTAAACCCTTCCCTTTTTCCTAAATCAAGCGGAACAATATTCACAAGGCATTGTGTCGTTGTTGGGGTTCGTTGTTTGCAAATAGTTTTCTAACTTCAGAACAAGAGGATTGAGAATGAAATAATGAACACCAAAATAATTAGCAAGAAAGAATAATAGAAATAATAGAATTGATAAGTGATTTAAATATTTATTTGCAAAACTATGAGTGGTTCATTTTCAAAGCGGATCAGGATACTTAGCGGATCATTCTTTGTGTGAAAAATAAGATACGGTGAATACTGAGCTTCTTATCATGTAGAAAACAACGAGACAGTGGATGGTCGACTTTGCTTTGTGTGAAAAACGCGTACGATGGATGGTAGACCTCGTTTCATTGTTTCGCAGAGGAAACACCAAGGCTTCACCATTCATTGACACGTGCTTTTTCAAACTTTTGACAGTATTCGAATATGAAATATAATATTGAAAAACTTATTCCGCATAATGTTTCTTTTTGCTTTCATTTATTCTTTTCTCTTTTTTTTTTAAGGCAATAAGTTAATGAAATTTTTGCTTCGTACGAAATGTAAAGAGATGCAAATTGCCAATATAAGCCAAATATGTGGATGGTTTGGAGAAATAATGAAAGGATTATTTTATTCTTGATGATAAACCTCGGCCAAATAGGCCCAGTGAATTTGGAGAGGAAAGGAAGAAATCTCATAAGGAATTAGAGAATTTTGGGATGCGGAACAATGATTCATCTGCTTATGTGATGTACTTTTCCAATTACCATTTTTTTTTTTTTGGAGAAAATTTAGTATTGATGAAATGGACATTGAATTTTTTATATGTAAGTTCCTTCAACTTTATCAACATAAATTATAAATATTAATTAATGGACGAGTATAAAGATTATATACAATGCAGTGGATGGTATATTAATAATTAATGATTTCTTAATTTTTTTCTGGATGAAATACAAGTTTTTTTATGTTATTTATGGAGCAATCTGATAATAGATCTAATTATGTAACTTTATTTGTCGATGGAAAAATTCTATGCTTTGATAGCCACATAACAGCAAAGCTAGAATATGCGTACTTAAAGTATAGATTTCCGATTATTTTTACATTGGAAAGTATCGATACTTTACATTGGCATATATTAATCATTTTTAGCAATAATATTGCAGTAACGATATTTTGCTTAAGCATAAATATTTATTGCAATAATCATCTTAAAATTTTGCTTCTGATACTATTTGCTTATCGAAAGGAGTATTTAATTGCAAAACTACTCAATCTGATCTAACTCATCGATTGATCGGTATGTTTGGCTTAAGTACAGACTTTTCAATATCGACATTTCTATTTTGCATTATCCAAGCGTCACCGAGTATCGGTACTTCACTCCGCTATCAATCGATACAGCATCGATAGCGCGCGTCCTTAGCTCTAGCTGAAGTGCGTACGGGCAATCAGTGCAGCGATCAGCAATAATAGCGTATGATACAGAAACGCGCGGCGCTTAATTAGAGATGACATTCCCGGGTGGTGACGCGTCTTGCGTCGCGTCGGTACCGCTTGACGGTGACTCCGGAGACGGAGACGCGGCGACACAGTCGCACACGAGCGAACGGTCAACCACTTCCTCTTCACCGCCGTGTGTGCCCTCGTTGCACACAGTGTGGCACGGCTGAGCAGTTAGCCACGGCAGTGCGCACCAGCGGCAAGCACGGCCGAAGCTCTCGTCAGATTCGGGACTCCTTGACGCGGTCACTCTCGCGGGCGACCACGTGGTCGGTCCGGCGCGTGTCTCCGACATTTTTCACAGTTGTACGCGTACCGTCGTCGTGGCATTTATATACGTCGTATCGGGCCCGACACGTGAAACCGAAGGTGAACCTTGGAGGAGCCCACCTTCTGGTCTTGGTCGGCGGAGAACGAGAGAGAGAAAGAGAGAGAGAACGCGCGCGAGAGAGAGGAGATGATATAAAGAGGCGAACGGAGGAAGAGCGAGCGGCGTCGCGAAGTAAGGAAGGAGGGAGCGAGGACGAGCCGAAGGAGGAAGAGAAGGGAAGAGGAGGAGGTAGAAGTCTGAGAGAGGGAGAACGCTGACTGGCAAGTACGTGGGACACGTTTGCGCTCACTGGCTGCGTCCATCGACACCAGTAGGGTGATCGCACCTCCGAAAGGGGTCTAAGCTCAGCAAGCAGCTCGGGAGCAACACACCATTTTGCGATTTGCGGCAAGTGCGAGCGCCTTGTAGCTTAACGACCGCCGGATTGCGTGCATCATTCGGAATCGTACATACGCGACGCTCGTACGCTCGATTCGTCCCGGGGCGATTACACGCGGGCATCGATTGATCCTTCGATGCCGAGTTGCGCGCGTGTTTTCGGTGCACGGCGTAATCGGATACGTCGCGGCTGTGATTGATATTTCGCGCGAGTATGGGCAGCCGGCTGCGAAAGGTGCATTTAATGTCGCCCACGGGTCGTTTGAGTTAATGGCATTAAACGAGCCGGATTGCGGATAGGATTTGCTGCAGTCCTTCGTAACTAGCGATTCGAAGCGGCGCGATCTCGGTAAGTTGAGATTTTCACATCAAAAGCGAAAATAGGAATGTGAGCTCCGTCCGCTACGTTTTCTCCCCATTTAATCTGATCGAATATTTCGCTACCTTTATTTTCTGAATTATTACACATTCCGTGATGCAGAAATTATGCAGGCCGCTGAACATGCAAGATTCTTTTCGGGGGGAAAAAAAACAGTACACCGACAAGCGTCAGTTTCGACGGTCCAGATCTCTCTACTTTAATGTCTCCCGTTTGTATTTTTGGTTTTATAGCCACGCCAGAGTGGACGCTTGTATCTATTCGTGACAACGCGACGATTGACGTGAGGCACGTTTCTTCGTGGCCGTAGCATTGAGCTCGGCAATGTTATATACCGGGTGTACTCTCGCGCATTTCGATGCACGCAGACGCGATTTGACGCTTTCAGCGTAATGGAAAAGAGAGAGATTCATCCGCGTATTTGTCTCCAGACGGTATCTCATGCAGCTCCCTAGCTCTCGAGCGATACGCTAATCTCTGGTGATATGAGGCGCGAAGACAGTAAGAGGAAACGTCGCCGTTTTACGAAGAGGTATTTCACTCGACCTTGATTCCCGTTGTAGCGCATTTCGTCATCTCGCTGATTAACGATGACTTGTAATCGATGCTACAAACGCCAGCGGCAACATTATAATATGCGGGCGTGCAGTTATTTTTTTGTCATCGATAGAGCGACTGCGAGTTTTCCACTCCGATAAGTAATTCCGATCACCTCCGATTTTAATAATCGCTCTTTAGACCCGCTCATGGTCCAAGATAATTTCTATCGAATACGTCAATATTGAAAACTGTCTTTATTTCATAACAAGTGATATCGGCAAAAACAAACAGTCCTTGTTTAATTTCTGTGTCAGATCATAAAGAACGTGCTATTATCAGGTTGCTCCAAAATTAAAATTTACATTCGCTGAAGAAGGGAAAAAAAAAATCTCTGCATGACTAGGTCATTTCGCGAGAAACACAAAAATATCGAAAGTTTATATCGAGACTATATTTCGGGCGTTGTAAGTGTTCGTATTTCGTATAGAACAATCGAAGGAATATCGTTAAATTTGCGTGCCCGCATTTGTGAGAAAACAAAGACAATTTTAAAATTTAATTTAATAGAAACATCGAAGCGATATCGTCCTGACATAGTTTCCTTGTAAAACTCGATATGTATGCGCTTTTTACCAACGTTGATTAGCCACGGTTGTAATTTCTTAGCGATAACGCGCGTCATTAGATGCACGACTCAAGGGCCAATCGGTTCTTTATTTAACTTTTCGCTTATCGCCGCGCAGATTATCTTCATCGGAATTGGCTTTATCGCTACAGAGAATAAGTTAATGAACTTCTCTGCCTGTATTTCGTTATATCGCGTATGAAAAATCAATCGATTCCGCTGAACTAGTCCAAACGGATCGATTATATACTATTTAACTGCGAAACGAGCAATAATTTATCGAACACTTCGATAAATCCATTCGCGTTTTATCGTTCCGCGATAAGGAAAGTGTATAATAATACTCTTACGCAGTTGGTTTTTCTTCTATTACGTTATCTAACAAAGAAATAAGAAAAAAAAAAAGAATTAAGAGCGCTATTTATAACCTGCGATATTTTTATTTTTAAAAGAGGTATTGAAAACTTCACAATATGACGATGTCAACTTTTGCAGCTCTTGTTCGCGTGGTTTAAAAACTCATAAATAGCTTTTAATTCTGAACTGTCTTTTTATTTCCTCGCGCTGGACGGGAGGAGAGGCGGGAAAAGAGCTACGCAGGGGTCATATAATCACGCTACACGCGATGGGTAAAAAAAACGTATACATATATATATACATATATATAGATCGTTGAAATGAGCTTGAAATGGGTTATGTGTTTTAATGACTAATCCGTGAGAGATAAAGCCTATCTGAGACACTTATTTTTCTATCGCGGAGTTCGATCGTGCACGACGCGTTTTATTCGATAAGTCGTTATAGATTCGCTCGCTGCTTCGGCGAATTCTGTAAGAAAGGAAAAACCGCTTATCTACGAACTGATTAACGGCCGGACTGATAAATGGCTATGTTTGATAGTTGTTAACGCATCGGCGGTTCGAGCGCGAAGCGAATCTCGTGCAGGAAGTAGGAGGGTATAATATATGCCGCGCCGTGTCTCACGATACGTATGCAATGCATTTCTGCAACTTGAACTTGCGCTGCCGCAAATACACAAACACGACAATGTTGCCGGTATTCTATATTGTGAAACGAGTTTCGAGAATGTTGCGGAATCATTGCGTTCGTCCTCGATATATATGGATATGTGCGGTGCGCGCCGAAATAAACTGCATTTTATTCGACGCCTCGCAATGAATATTCTTAAACACTTGGCTAATTGGAACTGCTTCGGCGACGGTGGAGAGCTACAACTTTATTGACCAGCGGGTTGATTTATTTTCGTACGTTATCCGTCAGCTCTAAGTCGCATTGGCACAATTCCCCGCTCCGAGAAGGGAGGGGATGCTTACGATCAATGACCAGGATCTCACAAAACGATCCCAAAATATCTCCGATTCCAAAAATTATTATCGACGCTATTGAGTTTACGACTTGTGTCTCCCAGTTATTTCTTACGGGATTGTTATAAGAATTTCGGAAAAAAGATTATTAAATTTATTAGACGTAACTCACTTTTCTGCTCATCTGAGAATTCTACGCGAGTCACGAAGAAAGTTCCCGAATCTTTGGAAAGTTAACTTTAATCTTCTAACTTGTTTTATACTTTATGCAATCTCCTCAATTTTCCTTCATTTTCTATTCTTCCTAATTTCTTTTGCTTTACATTTATTATTATTTCCATTATTATAATTCAACAATGATATGAATTAATCAAACAGTGATGTTCTAAGATGTGTAAAAAAACTCTATTTTATTTTTTTTCGCGATTTTCTCAAAATTTTTACCTCACCAAAGGAGTTGTAATTAATAACGATTTAATTTTTCGAAAGTCGATTTTTCATTACATGAATTTCAGTTTTTTTTTTCTACTATATTATTCTAGCATATATTTAAAGATTTTAAGTCAGCAATTAAAAAAAACCATCGAAAAATGGTTTTAGAAGGTTAATTGACGTATGTCAATCGATGGGCTTCATAAATTAACGAATCGATCGCGAATTCAGGATCACCATCTTCCTCGAGGAACTCGTTTCCCTGGAATCTTCTCTTGATTAACAGTTCTGGATGGTTGCCTCCATGGAGCATTCCCCTCTGGAATCCCTCTCTCCTTTTTTGCCTGCTCTTCCCCTTTACCTGTGCCATCTTCTCTTCTCTTCCTTCCTCTATTCTTCTTCATACTTTGCTTATGCCTGTCTTCCATACCGTGTTGCGACCGGTGTTATTGCTTTCGTGGAAACTCAGTCCCTCGGCATTCCGTCCGTTGTTCGCGCAATTAACCGGCGTTTTGCTTTCTCTCTACAGTCGATAGATCGGGAACTGGGCAGTCTGGAAGCTCGCCGAGGGTGACGCTCCGGCTCAACCAGGTGCGAGGAGCGAGGGATGAGAAGAAGGGGGGGAGTGCTTCAAACTCCCGTCAGGGCGGCATGAGTGCACAGGTAAAGCATATCAACAACTGCGAAATTCAATTTATCGCGAGCGCGAACGGAGAGAAATAAATCTGAAGAAAAATACAATTTTGCGATATTCTTTAACTGTAGCAGTAATGGCATTTTATACTTATTATTTAAAGACGTTCTAATGTCTGAAACAAAAGCACTAGTACCCAAGTCAAGTCGGAGATACAAATTAACGAAACAAAAAATTAAAAACATAAATAAAAAATCAAAAACGTAATTATTTATTATATCCCCGCATAAAGTTGCCGTCTTTAAATTCTTTATTTATTTTGATTAGTAGTCACTCTAAAGATGGTCTTACAATTGATTGAAACGTTTATAAATATTTCTACACGTAGTTATAATTAGCGCGACTTGCGTTGGCTCGCGTAGTTCACTTGTGCTTTCATTTCACATTTGTTCAGTCATTGGAATCTTATCAAGTTTTATTTTAATATTTTGTTATAAATTTAAACTTGATATAATATCAAGTGGACGTTACAGTAAAAAAGTTTTAACTTTAACATTAGAAATAAAAAAAAAGTTGCGGAAGAGAAATATTTATCAACATCATCAATCAATTTTAATTTGATAATAAAAGACGTTGTCAGAATTTAATTATTTTAAAGTGCACATTGTCTCTTGCATTTTCTGTTCTCGATAAAAAAACTTGATGAACAATTCGCAGGGTCAAGGTTCAATGGAGACTTCGTCGAAGGCGCCGGCCAGCAGCGCGTCGTCGGCAAGCGGCGGTAACGCCGCTTCAGGCTCTGGCACATCCGGCAACGCGTCCTCGTCTACCGACAGCGGTGATATATACGAGTTCAAGAGCTCGAAAGAGCCGACGCCGGTGAGAGGCGCGAGCTCATCTCCGAATCCCAATCCGGACAAGGAGAAGGATGGCGGCAGTAAACCTTCGAGTAATCAAGGCAGCCAGAGTAGCGGCAGTAACACGGCCACCGTCAGCGGCTCGACGACATCTGCCAGTGAAGCGACGACTGCACCATTGGCTCCCGACGAGTCCTCGGCCGTCTCGACGTCGCCATCCTCGAAGCGCACCTTCGAGGGCGACAACGTGGACGAGCAGCAAGACGAGGAAAATCGTCGGAAAAAACGGAAAGACTCGGAGGCCGTGAAGGAGAACGCGAAAAATAACACAACAGGACGGCAGAGCGCCGGTAGAAACACCAGCGGTGGCGGAGAAAAGGTGAGAAATCGAAAATTATCTTTTTGTTGCGATTTTAATCGTACACAATTATTTTAATGACGTATAATTGCTTGCAGTGCGTGAAATCGGGTAAGCAAGGATCTGGAGCGGCATCCGGCAAAGGAAGTCAAAACACGAGCTCCATCAGTGCGGATAGAAAGAGTCCCAGTGCCTCTTCAATGGCTAGCAGCCCGAAACCTTCGAATGCTCCCAGCTCGACGAGCACGAAGACCGGTACTCCAGCACCGCCCGAGTCCGACGGCGAGGAGGACCGATCTAAATCCTCGGACTCGAATTCCGCACCCAAAGTACCGCCTTTAAAAATAGTTATACCACAGAGCACGGCGTCGGAGCAAGAGCAAGGCAATAGGAATGGCAAGAATATTGCGAGCAGGAGTCATCAGTTGCCGTACGTAGTGGCCAGTTCGAACAGCAACGATTCGACGGAGAAGGATCAGAATCAGTCGGCCAGCGGTACGACCAGCCCTACGGAAGGTAACACCACTGCAAAAGGAGAGGACAAGAAAGACTTTGGCGGGAGTTTGCACGGAGAGGAAAGGTCGACGCATCATCAACGTGTATTGAGGAGTTCGCACAGGTGAGAAAAAAAAAGAAGCCTTTAACCTCGCTGTTCCATTCGGACACATAATCAATTACATTTATGTTTTTATAAACAATTCCTTCGTATACTTTTATCTTTTATCAACTGAAGTCCCCGAGTTACCGGTCATTTATAGTTCCACTTCTCAATATCGTATTATTTTTACAGGACCGGAAACGGTAACAACGGTTCCACAGCGTCGAAGGAAACCGTCCCCTCGTCAGGCAACGGAAGTTACTCCAACTCGTCGCCGTTACCAGCTAACGCTTCCATGGATCGCTCGAATAATTCCTCGCCGCAACAAAGACATCACTCGCCGACGCCCGAGACAACCGGATCCGATGTTAGTAGCAAGACCGCTTCGTCAGAGTCCGCGAGTGCAGGAACAGTCTCGAAGTCTAATACGACCGTGGAGAAATCGGAGAAAAATGCAGACGCCGCGGGAAAGAATCAAAAGGACAGCGGTGTGGAAAATTTGGAGAATGTCTCGGCGACAACCTCCTCCGCGATGTCTAACGCCGGCACACCGGCGCCACCTGTTGAGCTTCATCCCAGGAAAAGGAAAATGAAACCTAACAAAGAGGCGCAACAGGCTGCTGCTACGGCCGCTGAAGCGGCTGAAGCTACGAGTACGGGACCAGAAGTTCATCCGCACGATCAACCAATCACTAATTGTTATCAGCTATTTCTTAATATTAGAAAGCAGGTGAGGCATCCCTTGAGTTCTCAATGTAAAATTCGGTCGAATTAATTCGATATTTTTAAATCTTTTTTTACATGTTTTTTAACCTCTTTTTAAATATTTTTTTGCAGATTGAAAGAAGGCGGAAGGGCTTGTTTCCGGTTCAACCGAAACCTCCTCAAGGATTTAAGGATTACTTAATGAATCGCTGTACATATGTGTTAGCTGGCAATGCGAAAGAGCCAAACATTAATCCACCAGTTGGTTTACACGGAGCTATGAAGGACTTGTACGTTGACCAAGAGAAGGAGCGATATCGCCTCAGAATGCAACACGTAGTTGAGAAAGAGAAATTAGTTTTGTCGGTGGAGCAGGAGATTCTTAGAGTCCACGGTAGAGCGGCCAGAGCACTCGCTAATCAGTCGCTTCCCTTTTCCGTTTGTACGATTCTCAAAGACGAAGAGGTTTACAACGTCATCACTCCCGAACAAGAAGAAAAAGATAGGAACGCAAGGAGCAGATATAACGGTAGATTGTTCTTAAGCTGGCTTCAAGATGTCGATGACAAATGGGAGAAGATAAAGGTACATAAGAGAAGATTAATGATAAAATATGTAGCTAGATTTAAAATATGTACCTGAATTATTCCACAACTTACATACGTATTTAAGCATGTGTTTTTAATTAATCAGGTTAGATTAAATGTTACGTTAAATCGTTGGCGTATGCAAGTCTCTACGTCAGTAGTCTAGGCGTAATATATTTATGTTTGGTTATTGCGTATAATTGTTAGCTTTTATTTTCATTTCTAATTTAATGTGAATTTCACAGGAAGGTATGCTGTTGAGGCATCATAACGAGGCGGAGTCCCTACACGCTGTCCAACGAATGCACTGGGAATGGAAATTGAAGGAAGTTGGACTCTGCGAATACAAGGCGACTCCTCAAGTCGAGGATGTCCATGTACCGATGGTACACGTGTCAGACGACTTTGATTTGTTACCAGCTTAGTATACAATATCTGTACAATTTTTCTGGTACGCCCAGTTTTCCCCACATCTTCGAAACGACTTCGAAGACGATGGCTTTAATCTGTGATCTCTCTATCGATGTATGCACCACTATTGTGTCATTACAAATTTATATTGTAAGCGAGTTTCATAGCGACGCGACGAACTGCAAAGGAATTTCACAAACGCATTATTACATTGAACTACGGCATTGCGATCGAAGCAAATCCCCTCCAAAGAGTCTTAATTATTACATCAAGCTGTTATTGCGTCTGTTTCGGCAGTAAAAGGAAATAAGGGACACTGAGGCTAAATTTGAAACGATTGAAAGTTTTAGCAAATAGACAGCAATAGTCTTGCATTTGTAGTTGTTTAACTTTTGACAATAAGTAAAATCAGATTACACTATGCCAAAAAGTTAGGAGAATACTTCTTTCGTTTTATATAGTTGAGACAATTGAAATAAATCAAAGTAAATCATATCGATATATTCACCTGTATGAACGAAATATAAAAATATCCATATGTGCCTTGAATTTTTCATTGAATTCAATTCAATCGACATTGACGAATTCATAGCGACCGTGCGTGTGTACTCTTAACGATGCGACTTCGTTACATGCGTTGGGAAGCGAAACTGACAGCGAATATTATTTTGGCGTTTAAAGGGTAATTAGGTATCATATTGACATCACTGTTTGTCATAATTCAATTAAGGCACAGCTATCTAATTAACGATGTTATCAGAGTTAACATAATTATTCAATACAACATCATTATCGTGCGAATAAATTTGCGAAAGTATATATATATATATATATATCTTGCATCACAATGATTCTAGTATTGCATTTCTCAGTATATACAAGTTCTGATATCTTATTAAAAACATGATATTAAAATGAAGTAGGCAAAATTTTCAGATAAGATCGAGAATTTGCCATTGAATTTATTTTAATACCGTTTACAAAATATCAAATATTGATGCAATTGCATGTACCAACTCTGGCAACACTGCTAAAACTTATTAGGCATTTGCGCGCTCCTATTATATCCCTACTCTTTTACTCCGTTTATGCCTCATATTCCCTACTTCACTTTTTTGTTATTACATAGTCAACGTTGTTTCTTTTCCACGCAAATAATAAACAAACGAGAGAAATGAAACATACAAAATTTCTATTTTTATTATTTTTATTCTTTTATTACTTTTATTTTATTACATATTTATGTATTTAAACTGCACTTTTTCTCTTTTTTTAAAATTGCTTGTTTGTGTGATTAATTAATATGATAAGCTGTGAAGTGGAAAGGCTTGTTTGTGTGACATTACAAATTAGTTTTAATTTGAAGATATATATTATGTGTGCTTCGCATTTATTTCTCATGTTAAAGAAACTTTTTCCAAGGTAATTTGTATTCATTTGTTTAACACTACTGAAATCATATAAACGGGAGATGTGATTGAAGAAGTAGGCTCTTAATCTTTTAGTGTAGTGTATTTTTAGCTAGTGAACTTCTATAAGTATGAGTTTTTACGTTTTAGATATATATACATCATAAATTTGCTTTAAGTTATAATTGCAAGTAAAATTATAAACAATCATTTATGATCTAGCTTTTCATTATCGTGCGAATAAATTTGCGAAAGTATATATATATATCTTGCATCACAATGATTCTAGTATTGCATTTCTCAGTATATACAATTTCGATATAGCATCACAATGTAAATATTTTGTAATTAGCGATTTGTAGGAATATTTAGTTATATGTATAAAATTTTTCATGTAAGAAAGAACCTAAGGAACAAGAATAAAGTATGCCTTGAGATATGAGTGCTGTTATAATTACTTTTTATTGACATCATCTTTATATTCAGTGTTCACTGTGACTGTTTCACTAAGGCTATTATTATTACTTAATTTAAAGTCTATTGGTTTATCGTATCCCATTATTCTGATATAGTGACTAGGGTCGTCAAAAAAGCTCTGCTCTAAGAATAAAGGTTTCCCTTTTATAATACAATTCGTGAACATACCAGTTACATCCGGTACTACTACATCATCTGGAGTAAATTCGAGCTGAAACAGTTTGTTATTACTTAAAGAATATCTCAAATACAGAAACGTCACATAAAATATTATACATACCTCTTTCTTTCGAACGAATAAATTATAAGTGTTTGCGATATATTTGTCTTCCTTAGCATTGTAATACACATGCGTTACATATTTTTTAGTTATCATATGTATTAACAGAGGAGTAGTCACAGCCAAAAATCCGATACATGCAAACAATCCTAAAACAGCTCCTGTATTGCCGCTCTCCACAGCTTTTGTGTATAGAAGTGGCTGAGCCAGTAAGCCACCGGTGGATGTTAATAATGAGAAAATCTTGAGACCTCTAACTTGTTTTGTTAAAATTCCATAGTAAATTTCAGTTTTTTCTGTAGGAGCTTCATGAGGAACTTTTGTCGAAAAGTGCTTGACATTATGCGTTGCGGAGAATCTCTGTAAAATCACGAACTTTATTTAATATCAGAAAATCATTCTCGTCGTTGTAATTAGTTTAGTTTTAGAATCTTATTAAACAATTTAAAAATTTATTCTAACCTCAAGATTGCAGCCATTATGTGTGATATAAATCGGAGCGCGTATCAAATTATTGAAATCCTCCAAGAGAAGTCTCTTTTGAGCGGATGCACAAACTCTTAAAATTAATGCCATATTTATAAGAATAAACGTATGTGTAGATACTGTTTTATAAGTTTTGTAACATCTCGATTCGCGTAAGACTGACGAATATGTTAGAATTAGAATATTTACCATAAATAGATACGTATGTGATCAGCTGAGGAGCAGCATACGCTATCTAGCGTCGGTAGCTAATCTTCGCCGATTCGATAAGAGTGTGCGCTGCCGCTAGATAGCATACGCGATTTATCAGTCGCCATATTTAGTCTACAATTCAGACGGTGAACCAAAATCATCCATAAGAGTGGCTCATGTTCGTGTCCCACCCCTGGAGTCTCTCCCGCTAAGTTCCTCGGCGCGAGGATATTTGTCAAGCGCGGAATCAGGGAGTTCGGCTGATAATTGAAAGTCGCGTTTGCGAATGATACACTCGGGAGGGCATCTTTTCTTTTCGTCTCGCCGGGGCCTTATCACTGCTGTGCATATAAATCCGGGTGTGAACGAATACGCGCTGATGTAACGATGACGAAGAGAACGTTTTAGGTGCGTGAGGAACAACGGCCTTATACTGAGTAATATTTGGCTACACAACGGTTCTAACCTTGCTCGACGGCAACATGAAGTCGGGCAATACGGATAAGCACAGGGGCACGATTCTTCTGAAACCGGAGGAAAATGAGCACATCTTCCAATTGATAGGCAATCGATGCCAGGTGAGAACCTTCTCTCGCACAATTGTCAATGTCACCGTCTATTGCTTCATCTGTCAAATTGACAAATAGTTTTTAAACTAATCAAATCAATAAGGAGCGTAAAGAGCCACAATGCTAGATCTTTGTGCGAAGGTTATGATATATTCGTTAAAAATGTTTACAAACGTTTCAGCCTGCCATTAGGAATATCGATATTCAAGTTCAACATGTAAAGACATCTGGTCTTAACTTTTCCATCTCGTTCCTTCTACTTGGGCGAGCGCTTCTCCATCATGCAATTAATACAATCCTATCTAATTTATTAACGAACTACAATATGGTTGATAAAGGATTGCAAATACGTCTTCCACATCTTTTAATTATTTAAGCATTGCGAGCGAATTTTATATTTTATTGTATCTTATTTTGTACATTGAAGAAGGCCTGATGGCAGGCTGAAACGTTTGTAAACATTTTTAACGAATATATCGTAACCTTCGCACGAAATCTAGCATTGTGGCTCTTTACGCTCCTTATTGATTTGATTTGATTTAACAATCACTAGAGCCTTATATTCTAATTAAGTTTTTAAACTGTTCATTAAAGTTCTAGTTCTATGTGCATCTTCAATAACATTTGTGACAAATTATTTAAATGTATCGTTAATATTGTTTGTTGCGTGATTGTCTGTTTCAGTGCTTAGCAGCTGGAGTTGTACAATTATATTTGACTGAACCTCCTTCACATAGAGATTGGATTAAAAAGAGTACAGGCATTATCACTCTAATAAGAGACAATCCAAGGCGTAGTTTCTTCTTGCGATTGTATTGTTTACAAAGAAAAGTAATGTTGTGGGAACATGAAGTCTATAATTCAATGGATTACAAAGCACCAATGTCATATTTTCATACTTTTGAGGCAGAGGATTGCATGGCTGCATTTAATTTTGCAAGTGAGACCGAAGCCATTACATTAAGGTATGTTAATATGTTTTATGCTGTAACATTAATGTGATACGGAACGAATAAAAATTTCTTTAATCTGATTTATTGAAATAGATATCTAATTCTCAATACTTTTTTTTACAGAAATATACTTCTTGGAAAATTAAATGCTAAACGTCAAAGAAGGCAGGAAAGAAAAGCGAAAGAAACACAACCTAGTGGAACTATGCCTTGGAAAAATCAAAGCAGCTTGTCACCTTACAATGTTACATCGAGCTCATCGAGTAATTTATCAAATGGTGCACCTAATACAGTTGGCGTTAATAGAAGTGCTTCGAGCAGTTCAATGTACAAAACCAAAAAGAAAAAAAGCGAACAGGATCTCTCTAGGCGCAAGTTAACTAAGGACGATATTAGTCTTCCTTCTAATTTTAGGTAGGAGTTCAAACTTTATTTTGTGTGTCATATCTATTACTTATTTACACACATATTAAGATCGTTTTAATCTCTTGCAGACATGTGGCACATTTAGGATGGGATATAAATAATAAAGGTCTCGAATTAGATTCTGTAGATCCACAGTTACAGCAATTTTTCAATAATGCTGGCGTGTCGGAGCATGAATTGAAAGATAAAGGCACTCGGAAGTTTATTTATGATTTTATCGAAAGGAATGGGGGTATGAGTGCAGTACAGGAAGATATTCGGCCATTAGTCAATGCAAGAAGTAATCAGCCTCCTGCATTACCACAAAGACAGGAATATCCTCCACCTGTTCCAGCACGAACAATACCTGTAAGTTTCAGCCTATGATATATATAAGCCATATTAATTAGTAATTTTATGAATTTGCAATATTTTCTTGGTCTTTAAACAAATAAAATTGATTTGTTCTTGTATAAAATTTGATATTTTATGTATATAATTTATACATATAAATACGTATTTTTCATGCTTATTGATTTTTATTTTTGCATTTTTTATTTTTTATATATAATACATTACGTTAATGAAAACAATATATATCTATTTCAGCATCAGACGCGCAGCGCCCCGCCTTTACCTCCAAATCGTCTTAATGTGTCTTCTACACCACCTAGCCTGCCTCCTAGTGCACCCCTGAGTACTCCGTCTCCCAATGTACCAGCGCACAGAACCATACCATCAAGACCGCCTCCACCTACTATAACTTTGGCACCGGCTCTTCCTCCACCACCTCCACCACCACCACCACCAGCTCTTCCCTCGAGAGTCGCTTCAAATGTTCCCATGCCACCACCGCCGCCACCTTTACCAGATTTGAGCAGCACCGACAATATAACAATGAATACGAATGCTACGAATAATAATAACGAAGAATCAATCATTGATCTTAGGCCAATGCTCATGGAATCGATTAGAAGCGGCACAACTTTAAGGGTGTGTATGAGCGTGGAATTCGTTGATCATATCAATTATATAATAATGGAGAAAAAAATGAGAGATTTCTTTTTGGGACAACTGCTCTTTTGCCCTTTCTTATCTATTGTGAGAAATTTCTAGTTATATCTCTAACAGAATATATAATACTTTTAAATTATTTTTTTTTATAGGTAAGAAAGCAAAGATGGAATAACTTTTATCTCAGTTTCAGCAACATCAGAAATACCAATTGATAGCGATAATTTGATATTTTGTTTTACAGAAAGTTAATAAGACAGAAATAAAACCAGCGCCGGTTGAGGATTCCAGAGGGGACCTGCTACGACAGATACGTGAGGGCATTGAGTTGAAACCAGTTCCAAACGAAGTGAAATCGAGTATAACACCGACATCTCGTGGCGGTCTGGCCGACGCGTTGTCCAGGGCTCTGGCCGAACGATCTCGTGCAATTCACAGTGAAAGTGAGGACTCGACTAGTGATACCACCGACGACGACGACGAGTGGGACGACTAAATTCGGTAAGTTGTCAATTTTGCATTACACGCACCAATCATACGAAAATCTGTTAAATACGACACTCTCGTCGTATTTATTTTCCATACTAACAAAGGCGTATAACAATTTCAGATGAAAATATTACAATAACGTACCACTGTAATAAATATTATTGAGAAAAAAGTTGACAGGAGATAGCTATAAATGTATAATACGAATTATCTTCAATTTTAGTACTCAAAAAAAAATGAAAATCAGACAAAAGTATTTAAAAGGGGCTGCTTAGATACATAATTGAAAATAAAGGCACTATACACGTGGATAGAGCAAGTAAGAAAGTGATGTATGTGATTAAACTATGGGTTGTTAAAATCACAATGACCCTTTGCCATCTTTTTAAACTCCCTTTTTAGGGATTGAATCAAGTTGGACTTCTTGTAAAAGCCTGTATAGTAGTTATGTAATATAAGTTACATGTGGAATACGTTTGTGTTGCATGTTAAATCAATATTCGGAACTAATCCAAATTATTTTCTCTTAAGGGGGGAGCCGCGTGAATCGCTAAAACAAAGGTGATTTTTAGGAATTTTTTTGGGGGAATTTTTTTTAGAAAACAATGCAACGGATCTTTTTAAAAACTTTTTAGTGTTTTAACATATATTAAAAGTAAAAAAAAAATTTTTTTGTTTAAAAATAATTGATTATAGATCCACTATAAACAAATGTTGACGCAGCCTCGTCACTGGAGTTGTGAATTGGTGGGAGTTGTAGCGTCTTTTGTACTCGTCTGAGACAAAAATATAAAAAAAATTTGTTTTCTACATTGACTACTATTGATTGAAGCAAAAAAAAATTCGATTTTTTGAACCGGTCATACGAGGCTCCCCTCTTATATAATTAAACAATTTACTTACAAAGTAAAGAATATATATTTTATGATATATAATTTTGCTCTATCCATATAATTCATAAATTCGACTTACATTATAAGTGCCTAATAATAAACACAAACACTTTATTCTGGCTTGTCGAAAGTGCGTAGGATTTTAGATTATTTTACATCATTATTGCTATATGACAGATATCGAGTACAGAAGTTCAACGCAAAGTGAAGTCATCGGGAGGACAATGCAAGGCACAAGATATACTTTTGCCGCTATGGAGAAATCCTAGTCACAAGAAAACATTTATTATTATATTTTATTATATTTTATATCATTTATTATTCATATTAGTTCGATATTTTTTCCCCTTTCATATTTATATCGTTTAACGATATCTATGTATCTGATTTATATAAAACAGACTAATATGTCACTACTACTATATCCAAATAAACACAAAAGAATTTATACTACTTATTAATTGTAACAGTAATAGAAGATAATTAAGCTCAGGTTTGTTACTAAATATAAATGCAACGAGAATATAAAACTGCAAAGAATTTCAAATTGCAAATGTAGAAAGAGTGGAAATTACGATACGCTCATACACTTGTGATGCAGAAATACATTTTGTGCCCATGATTCAGTAATGCATTTTCTTAGCAGTTGCTCTATATACGAGTAATCGAAGACAGTGTTAATTTATACTTTTTTGCAAAAGGTAACGTAAAATGGAAAATTAATAAAAAATATCACCTTGGGCTTCTGCACGAGAGAGCAAACTAGTATAGTAGCTTCGAAAAATATTACTATGAATTTCGCGGATATATTCTTTGGCCAATTTGAAATTTATTTTTTTTCATAATTTTAGAGGATAAACAAGCGAAATAATTTTCGCGAATTAAATAAAAATAAACAAAGCTTTTTACTCTATATTTAATTTCAATTGAAATTTATTTCGATAGAGAGAGAAAGAGAGAGAAAGAAAGAGAGAGAATTTTGATTCGTCATTTTAATAAAGTACAAAATATTTATAAGATTAAAAAATGAAAAGTTGTGAAAGACAGGTTGTGATATCCAATTGAGTTTTTGCTCAAGTTTTGGGAAAAAATCTATTTCAAATTAATCAAAGAATACGCCTGCATATTTTGCCCAAGTATTCTTCCAACATTGTGCATAATTTTATACATGGTATTTTATTTATCTTGAAATGACTTTTATTTGACATCAAATTGGAAAAAAAACATTTTATGTAAATATAACAAGAAGTTTTGTAGATCCAACAAGAAAACACTTAATCAGATCTTTATAGTAAAAAGTTAATCAAACGGTGTAGTTATAAAATGTAAAATTTTGTTACGATAATCAGAAATTCTGTTTCGTTTAACAAGAATACGCTCAACCGGAAGCGTTTTATTAATATAATAAAACCATTTTTCTCACGAAATAATCGATCGAAAATTTACAATATACTTGTAACATAGAAGTATAAAACCATGTATAATGCGTTATATGCAAATAATACAACAATTTCTAACAAATTCTTTTATTTGATATCAAAGTAAAAAGTTATTTCAAGAAATTGTAATAACTGGTACATCGCTTTACTATATTGAGATCGAAAATATAATGTAAAATATCTCAATGATTTTTAACTGCAATAAGTTGGTCTCGTCAGCGTCGAATAGCATAATTGTAATGGTTTAATTCTACCTTTTTTTTTAATTACACTGCAATTAGTATATTATGATAAAAAAGAAATAGGGAATCGATCAAATTAGAGTTAGAAATAATGGACGCTGATGAAACTGCTCCTAACGAGTTTATAAATTCAAAACTTTAATATAGCCATTGTCGTTTAAAATTAAACTTGTTACATAGAGTTATACAAATAATATTAAATATACGTTGAAACGATGTTTATATTATTTATTTAATAATTAACTTTTACACCTATTAAAAATTAGTTTAAGCTGCATGCTGATTATTTGCATGCACATAGATTCTAAAAAGAAGGTATTTTTGCTAACGATATAAGTGACGATATATAGACTTGTAATCTTAAAAAATAAAAGGTAACAGTATTGTGCACATACTACCGTTGCAATTGATCATTGTTTAAAACAATCGAAACTTTTATCATTTTTGTTTATATCAAAATAATGTTCCACGATTATTATTGCAATGATACATATCAATTTTGGAGCCGCAAGCATATTTGTATTTGTATCTTTTATGTCGCAAAGAGATTTAATATAGATTAAAAATTATTTATAAGTAATTTTTAATTATAAAATTCTTTTTTGTCACATTGTAAAATTTAACATTAACCCTTACAGACATGGTGCATCACACATGATATCATGATTTTTATTAGCTTTATACTTTTTGCATACGTTCTTTTTATAACTTTTATATCTTAAATCTAAGAACAATCTATATATAAAATTAAAACTATTCGTAATGTCCGGAAATTTAATCCTGTCTCGATAATCGAAGATAAAATTTTAAAGGGAAAGATCTATGTCTAAAAGGGTTAATCATATCGGATGCACAATTCCATGTAATAAGACTTATTTTACTAGTATTGTTATGTGAAAGTATTTGTTTACAGACTATGTTTTTGTATAATAATTCCATTCGCACGCACATTGTTATATAAATTTGCTTCCCACAAGTAAAAAAAATGATGTTGAAGTGATAAAAATGAATTACAATCTATGTCATTCATTATATTATATATATTATGTTATATAATAAATGAAATCTTAGTATCTTATGTAGATTTTAATTATTTACAAGGAATGCTATTTTGCACGACGTCCTAAAACCAGCCGTGTTTTTTTAATTATAATTTTAATGAGTACGTATAGTGAATTAAGTTTAGGTGGAAAAAGTCACAAAAGATCCTATTATAGTATCACTTATATCAAAACAGCATAAATATAGATCATAAACTTAGTTTCGTTTAGTATATCTTACTGATAATAAAGAATGACGAATGATAATGATGTTAACAGGTGTAATTCGTCATGTTTGATGAGATGGTATTTATGTCCTAATGTTAGAAGTCAGTGACGGAAGTACATTCGGAGTAATACTAAACGCAGCTATGAATACATTAATAATCGTTATAAGAAAGACTGCTACTACGACGTAATTGTTGATTCTCTGAGCGTTGACAGATTTCGACTTTCCCTTTATATCAAATCGGCCTTTAAAAATTAAACTGATACCAACAGCGATCTAAAACATATATATAATGCATGTAATAGTTTTACTCCAAGCGCAATTCTATCTTGATGTTTACAAATTATCATAAGCACGTATATATTTTTTGTTCTATTGTTTCAATTATATCTATTTTAGGGAAAATGTATACTGTATTTAATCTAATACTTATTTTAAAAAGATTCGAAAAGGTTCTTCAAACAAAAATTACTGTAAAGTGTGACAATCTAAATTTGAAATTACTTATTCTTCAAAATTATTTTAAGAGAAAGCAATCTGAAAAAAGATCAATATATCCTTAAGATTGGAAAGAGTAGGAATTTATATATTTTCACATTATAAATTAACTTTTTATATCATCAATTCAAGCTGCTAATGAATGTATCCATAAGTATTCTCTTACCTGTAATAACAGACTGATGATAATCAGAATCATAACAACGTAAAACATCGGGCTGTTTCGCTGATATTCAATAAGATATCTCAATTGATTTGCATTAGCCGTTATGAGCGCGACATCCATCATGCCCTGTGCCACAGTTTTCTTGGCCGCGAAGGTGCTCGCCTGCCTTGCATTGTAATTCGGGTTCCTCTTGTCCGTTGTGTCCATGGACTCTTTATTCGCAGCATCCTCGTTTACCTCTTCTTTAATCGATGTAGGATCTTTCACCACAACATCTTCGATCATCTCTAGCTCGGTAATGACAGTGGATATGTCGTCCATCCTGCTGTCTGTCTTGTCGTCCATTCTTTCCATCTCGCGATTTTTCGCACATTAATCCACTTGTTCACTGTATTGCAGATCGGCAAAAGCACTTGTGAGATCTCACGACAAAAAAGATGCATGGTGCAATCAATTAGGAAATGTTTCACGCTTTTTGATACATATAGATATATATAGATAAACTAAGATAAGTCAATGATAAAATCAATCGGGGATTTAAAAAGCATCTGTTTTTTTACGACACTATATAATTACTTTTTTGTTTCACACAATGTATTTGGTTTGACAAAGATGCTAATGCGCAATTATGTCTTTAGCTGATAGAGATATGAGAAATTTCTTTACGCAAAAGTTCTTTTATTTTTATGTGTCTGTATAGCGATTTATATTAAAGTTTGAAATAATTTGCTATTACGATAAAGTTTATCAATTAATTTTTCAAGACATTTTCAAGATCAACTATTATATCTTTAGTGTAACATTGTGTGTTTCGTCAAATTATTATAGAATATTTTATATTAAATTTAACGTGTTTTAATTTTAATTTGTTGGATATTTGCTTTATTTTGTATCAAATATTTCGAAAACTAAATTTTTACTTATGTTCTTCATCTTATTGATACAATTATAATCTATTCTCGAATTTAAATTTTATGTCAGCCAAATGTTTTATTCTAATTTACTTTTTAATGACTTTATATTTTACGAATATTGTACTATAACGCTGAAATTTTCTTTCCCTTTATTTTATTGACGCATAAGAAAAAAACTTACGTGAAAGAATAAATGTTGTTGAGTTGCGGAAATGTGATCTACTGTTACGATCGTATAGCTACGTAATAGATTATTTAGAATAAGTCGGGACGCGTTTGTGGAAAGTCTTTATTCAGTGTTGCTGGTTCGAGCTTTGATCGAGAACTGAACAGGCGAGAAGGATCTTTGTTTAAAGTGCTCTAGGATAATCGTAGCGGTGGAATGTTTATTGGAAGGAGGAGGTTTTATCGAAGAGAAAATACGCGATAGACACAGGAACAGTGTTTATCCAGACAGCATGATGACCTCATATAATACTCCTAAAGAGTTCCAAAAATTTTTCTGAGTTGATAAATTTAGATCAGAAGGTGGTTAGAACGTGCTCATAATGTACCCGAATGCGTCGACTTCTGAGTTCATTTTGATTTCATCATAAGAGCTTTTTATGCATATAACCTAGTAAACGAGAAATTATTG